GCTGTACTAGGAGAAATCAAACTTCATGACTTACACTTCAATAATAATGGTAGTAACATTGAAAAATGGGAAGCACAGGTGGCGTAGTGGTGACAGAGCTTGCCTCTCACCAAATAATGTGACCTGGGTTTTTGAGTCCCGCTGAGCTCGGTGTCGTATGTGAGTAGAGTTGTTTGTTGGTTCTCTCCTGTGCTTCGAGGGTTTTCCGGGTTCTCCGACTTTCTTCCCTCCGCAAAAATCAACTCCTAAATTCCAATTGGAATTACAGTGGATGAATAGCTACTCTGTAGAAATGCCACTGTTAAATCCCATTTATTTTATTTATTTATTTATTTATTAAATAGAAACATTATTTTCTGTGGTGCAAAGTACATCTAACATTACAGCATCTGATACAGTACTTAGTGAGTTTTTTCATCTTTTTTCCCCATTTTTTWATCTTTTCACAGTGTATAATTTACCCTTTTATCATTTATACTGTTTCATTAGAAACACCGACACAGCTCACACCAGTTTTTAGCTATTGCATCTCTTCTAATACAATACTTACATGAGGAAATGGTGGAACCAGCTTAGGGTTTGACTCGGTGAACTTTGAGAGTGAATAAACTGCCAGTTTTGTATCAACACCTGAAACAACAACAACAAAAAAGTATTACATCATTCAGCAATTGAATCCCAATTTGGCCGTTTTGCTCACAAGTCGATTCATCCACAGTCATTTTRCCCACAAGTCAAGTTGTTTTTCTTTGTTATTTCTTTTTTAGAGATTTGGGAATAAACTGGGTTAAGTTGGCATTACATTGCATTATGGGACTGTTTGAGGGGRCATATTTCCAAGATGGCATTTATTTCGTCCCTTAAACAATCCCACAATGCACTGCATTTACCAACTCGCCCCAACACGTAGGTGTTATAACAAATCTTCCATGTGAATGGACTATGGATGAATATACTGTACCCTGCATACACCACACACRAATAGAGTTGTTTGATGTGTTGTTCTCTCCCTTACTTCTTCGATTGTCAGTGCCATTTAACAAAAAAGCCRCTYRACACAAGATTTYTCATTAGCATCCATTGATAAYGGCACYATATTATGGCCGTCATGTTTTTGTCTTTTGAATTTCTTGGGAATGCTTGCAACCCATCAATTGCCACAAGGTTTTTTTTTCTGGGTTTCCTCCCTCCACAAAAATCATCATGATCACAAAAATCATCATGTTGAGTTTAGTTGCCGTTTAGTTGTTGTATGCTAATGACCAGAAAGACTCGGCAACGACTCCTCGTATCACAATGCAAAAAAAAAAAAAGATTTATCAATTTAATTTTTATTTCATTTGTTTATTTAATTTTAAACTACCTCCAGATACCAGCATGTCTTTGGGTTCGTTCATAGCCAGTGCTCTGACGTCATGGGTATGAACCCTGTTTGAATTTGTCTTGATCCATTTCTTGTTCTGTCCCTACGGTAAAAGGGTACAACCAGTGACGAAGAATGTAAAAAATCAAAATGTAAATGAAATCAAAAGTAAGAGAATATAATACTACATGAAACTAATACTAATTTTTAGCACTAAATAGTGATAACTAAACAATAGAAAACAAAGGATTCTGTATGAAATGGTCTCTTGTGTATTTGTCTTTGCATGATGAATGTTCTGGTTGAGTAATAGTGACTATTAGTCACTAAATAGATACTATTAATTAGTATTTAGTTTGATTTTATTTCACGGTTTAATTGCATCCGCTCTAGCTATTATTTAGTGACTAATAGTTGCTATCACTCAACCAGAACATTTATTAAACAAAAGACACAAATGGTCTCTTGTGCATTTGTCTTTGTATGATGAATGTTCTGGTTGAGTAATAGCAACTATTAGTCACTAAATAACTACTATTTGTCAGTATCAACTTTGTTTTATTTCATGATTTTTCCGTATGCACTCTATACTACAAGACAAACCTTTTTGGTTAGTTTGAAGCTGACTATTTTACTGTCAACACCAGCTGAAAACACTGTATCTTCTTCCTAGATGGAAAGATGTGTACACATGAAGAAAATAATATCTTTAATATCTTTTATAAGTAAACAAGTTATTGAAAAATTTCAGTTACTTTAGTTTATAATATTCAATTAGATACTACAGAGACAGCAGAGATAGGAGGAGAGCTGGAGCCCCTCCAATTTTTTCTGAGCATTTTTTTGTAAAACACTTAAGGACCATTCATGGGTTTGTATTTCACGTAGGACTACATGAAATGGCACTATTGGATTATTAATTATTGATTATTGATTATAACGTCCTGAAACCCTATTCCAAACCCCTAACCCAAAAAGAACCTTCATGTAACTTTAAACTTTATTACGGAATAGTGCCATTTCATGTAGTAGTAGTAGTAGTACATGAAGTAGTAAGGCATTCATGTTCCTCAGTGGTCCCTTTCACAGTTCCCAGCGCCATCTTGAAAGGAAGCTGTGCCTTTGCATTAAAATGAGACGAACGGTGAGCTTGCAATGATAGAGACCTTTTTTAACACCTTGGACAATWATTCACGTGTCTCTATCATTGCAAGCTCACYGTTCATCTCGCTTCAATGCAAAGGCATGGCTACCTTTCAAGAYGGAGTTRRGAACTGTGAAAGGGACTTTTAAAAGCAAGATATAATGTTTCCAAGAGCTCCAACTTTCAAAAACGTTGCACCATTTCTGAACTAAGTATATTGTCTCTATGTTGCTGGCAATTATGACGGACAATAAACCTTTTCTGAGAATGAGCATGGTGCATTCTGGTATAGCTTGGGTACAAACATCTAATAATAATAATAATAAATAATAAATAATAATGGGATTAACAGTGGATTCCACAGAGTGGCTCTTCTTCCACTGGAGTCCAATTAGAATTTAGAAATTGATTTTTGCGGAGGGAAGAGCCGGAGAACCCGGAAAATCCTCAAAGCACAGGAGAGAACCAACAGGCAACTCAACTGAACTCACATACAACACTGAGGTCGTTGTGACCCAAACCCAGGTCGCATTGGCGAGAGGCGAGCACTCTCACTGCTACCACACCCATGCTTCCCATCTTTACTTATCATGCACTTTGTTTTTGAGCTTAGTTAAGTCCTCTCATATTACATGTTAACAGGGAGTGTGTTTACCTCATTTATACACAGTGACAGGACATCAGCTTTATGGGCATTGTAACTCTAGAGAGAATCAAGAATATCRTCATGATGGTAAAAACTTAACCCAGCAATATTATATTCCAGCACTGCCTACATGTGGGTGGGTGGTTGGCCAATCCCAGGGCTTTAAATGATGGATGGTCAATAGGCCCTTTGCAGTTAAYGATCACGTGTCTGTACTGGAATGCAAAATTTATGTTKTTATATTAAATTGGTGATTCTTTTTAGCTACTTGTAAAGAACTGAATGAAAAYATGTGTAWCCAGTGTGTTAYGAAATGCAGTTTTATTACRATCTCTCGAAACAGGTTGTAGAAAGTTTGTTTGCTCACCAGTATATTTCATCCATGGAAATCAAAATGTTCATTCATTTGCTCTCAGTGAATTAATCAGCATGTGATTGCTTAGCTGCAAAGTGCCTATTGCTAGATATGCCAAGCCGCTGACTGGCCAAATTAGTTTTAGCTTGGTCATACCCAATTTTTTACAAAATRACTGGCAAGACAAATATTTAAGTKGACAAGTTCCCATTGTGGTTGAAYACCGATGACCCACTATTAATGTAAGCCCTGCATRTAGAGGAATTTGGCATGCCAATCMGCTAGTCCTGAATAGTGGCAATAATGATTAAAGTACCTCGATTAAAGTTCCTAGTTTTCCATCCCAGAAYTGTGTATTGCCGAGAGAATCACCAGTTATAATGGTATAGTCACTACAAAAAAATCATAATAATCATTTTCAACCAGATGAGCAGTGAATGCAGTGCGCAAGGCATGAGTGTACAAAATGACCAGCCCTAAGTATTGTGGAGCTTGAAAAAACGAAGTAAACATGGCGGTAAAGTGAAATTGTTTTGATTCTTCCTTTCCATATTTCTGCTTCTTGTAGGCACGTATATTATAACTTAGTCAAAAGAAAACAGAAAAATACGAAAAAAGTTGGGTTACAGTAGCCTGGGAATGAGGGCCGGCGGCAAAACAGCYAAACGAGATGTGATTGGCTGAAACAAAATTCACCGCTTAGYTGGAAGTTTACAAGTTTACACTAGAATACCTATGTCATTAGATGGATYTTGCCTTTGTYTTGCTTGAAGTCAAAGCAGCTCAATTTGGAGGACAAAACAAAAGAATTTCAATCTCCTGAGAATTGGAAACCTATTGTTATWTCCTCCAAATACGTTCCGACATACTGCAAGGGGTCTATAGGAAGTTCAAGAACAGAAAAAACATATCCGGGCCGTATAGGTGGGTCATTACCTAGTGATGTGCACATCCCATATCAGTGTATTCCTACTTTCAAACTCCTCCATRGTTATTCTCATTGTACAGTGACCCGTCTTGAGGTTGTACAGCTTGACAGTACTATCAGACGAACCAGTCACTATAACATTATCACTGACGTGCCAACTAAGGGATAGTATTCTGCCTGTTGATCAAACACATACAGGTATTATAGGTGGTCTAAGTTGCAATGGAGCCCTCTTCTTGCCAATGCAAGGCTTGTGGCAAGGGG